TATTTGGCTTTGTATAGGAGCAAAACCAAAACCGACCCAACCCGACTCAAACCGACCAGGTCGGTTTGGCCTGTCAGTGGGTCGGTTTCGGTTCCCACCTTAGCTAACCCGACCAGGTCGGGTCGGTTGGGAAAATCCCAAGAAACCGACCCAACCCGACCCGTGAACACCCCTAGGGATTAGTAGGGATCTCCAATTAGGGGATGAATTCAAGGTAGAGACGTAAATTGGATCATGTTGGGCTGGTATGGCATAGCTTGCGTGCAACTCATGCAAAATGTGGGTCGTGTCATACCGAGTCAAGCTGTGCTTCTCTCCCTTAATTAGGATACTTTGGGGGCCGGTCGAACACGGCCACAACCTAAGCCCATGCAATCCCATGTTGCATTGCAGGCCAGGCTGGTCTATGGACTGGGCCAAGCCATGTTTTTTAAAAATTAAAAAAATAATGAAAATTTTAATATAAAAAATAGACAAAAAATTAAAAAAGATCTTGAAGTTTTATTTTATATGAATTTTGATGTATATAATTGTTTATATATGCAATAATAAAATGAAATAATATAATAAAATTGTATGTATATATATTAATATATTAATATATTAATATTAATATATTAATATATTAATATATTATATATTATATAATATATTAATATATATATATATATGAAGATATATGGGTCGTATCGTTCCGTGCCAGCCCATGGACTTGAAACCCCAGGCCTGGCACGGCCCATACGATTGTGTTGTGCCCGGTACAACCAGCAACCCATCGTGTCAGGCCATGCCAAGCCATGAGCAGCACAACTCGATTTTACACCTCTAAGTCAGGGATGAAGAGTGACATGTCTACCTTGTCATGAATAATGGTAAATTTATTTTTCAACAAATATAATTACAAATTTTCAAGAATTCAAGTCCTTACGATAATAAATCCATCTCCGTCTAAAATTAGGGATAGAGGATAACTTTTATCCCTGTGGGGAGAGGGATTGGAAATGGGGATTTGTTTTAAAGTTGAGATTATGGATATAAAATATGATCCCTACCACGAATCCACCCATTGCCATTCCTTACATTGTCCCACTTGGAAGTTATGAAATTACCCCTACTCACTAGGGCATCATTCAACATAGTTCAAAATGTTAGATTTCGACCTAGCCCACAAGTAATTATTATTCTCTTAACTTAGAAGCAAAACAAAAAGATCAGATAAATCTTTAGCAAAGGCAAAGTTGCAAAACAATTTATTTGCACTCCTCTATTAGCATCCTGATACATCAATAGAGAAGTAATTTAATTAATTATTATTATTATTTTTTAAAAAAATGTAAGTGGAATACAAATTCTTTTTTTTCTTCTTCTTTTTGTTGAATAACACTCTATGATTCTCTTGTCGCGGAGATGCCTCGATCTTGTATTTATAGCTTGTCACGGACATGACCCATAAAGCTTGATGACTTTAGTTGTAGGAGGTCCCTTGGTTGTAATGATTCCATGAAGTTTTTCTTGGTTGCAGCAATTTGATAAGAAAATTTCTTGTTTAAAATAATTTGATGGGATCTTTCTTTGATTTGTAGCAATTCAAATGACTAAATTCTTCGATTCATGTGACACGGGACTACAACAGTTTTGAAGCATCAGCAATTGAAGAATCAAAGTTCTAGTTCTTCCTTCCCATAACAAGAAAAGTTGAAACACAATGTGGAATTGCTGGAGGGAGCCTAAGAGAGAAAACCCGAGAGGGCCTTCTTCCTTCATCTACTTATAATGCTCTTTGTTGATGAATCAGCCCAAAAATTGAATTCAAATGAGAGGAACCATCTTCAGCCAGCTATTGTCTCCTTCTATTATAAATTTTATTTGATACGGGCCCATCAATTTTGATGATTCGGTGATCAATTTACTAATCCTCAACATGCTTGTTAAGGTGAGTAGGTTTTACTAAAATTCCAACACTTGGGACCAAGTGCCATTTGACAAAGGGGTTGGACCCACGTAGCATTCAATCCATTAACCAACCACATTTCTTTCTTTGTTAAATCAATTTAGCCTCTCAATTGCCTTTTAAATGGGATCCAATAAATCCACTTTAAAATTTTGTCAACTGTCGTCTATGGGTGATCATGGGTCAGGCCATGCTTTGCATTTATGATAATAGCTTAGGCCCGGGCCCGGCCTGGCCTGGGGTTCCGGGCCTTAAATATAAGCCCTAGCCCATCTATACGGGTTCGATCCAAGCCGGGCCTGATTCTAGGTCAATGTCTTTCATATATATAAAACATTACATATCTATAATGTTTTATATTAAATGACATAACATGCATATAAACTTATTTTATACATTATATAATATAAAATATTATATATCTATATATTAAATGACATAACATGCATATAAACTTATTTTATACATTATATAATATAAAATATTACATATAATATAAATTATACATGTCATATTATATATAAAATATATAATATAATGTTAAATAACTTGTATACACAGTATACATACGTATACATTATACACAAAATGTGTAAGTTTAAATATATGCGAGCCGGACTTGAAATTAATTAAGCCCAAGCCCGATCCTAAAATTTGTGAGTCTGATGTGGGCCCGGGCCTGGGACGGGCTGAAATGATCACCCTTGTCGTCTAGTAAAAGATTTCAATTTGTGATTTCTTTTCCAATGTGATCTCTTGTATAGGGCCGGTGTATTTGGAAATCAAGTGATTAAAGGCTTAAGCCTATCACTTCCTTTAATTTGCATTTTCACTAGACCTTACCAGTGTCTCTTTAAGTTTTGACGGGCCAATACACAGGATCCCACCTAAAAAACATCTCCATTTAGTGAGCCCAACAGCTTTTTTCAGATTTTATACTGGGCCTTATTTACTGTACTTCTTGGGCCTAAAATAAATTTAGATACCACCACCTCACATCCAAACAGCCGAGTTCGCTTTTCAGGTTGAAAGAGTGAGCGAGCGTAAATCAAAGAGCCATTATGATCTCTCCAGATGAAACCGCGGGCTCCAACCCATTAAAAGCATCATTTTGAGTGGCAGCATCTATGTGAATATTTTAGTAAATCTTCGTAAGTTTAAAATGCATATTTAAAAAAAAATAATACATTAAATTAACGACTTAGGAGAAATAATTGCAGGTTTTCTTAAACTATTTAAAAGTTTTTTTTTTTTTGAAATAAAACCTCATAGGAGTTTTTTATGATTGTCAGAAACTTTAGAGAAGGTTTTTATACTTTACCTTTTTTTATTGGGTTAATTACTAATATACGCCTTATACCTTTAAGAATTTACTTATACGTGCCATCTAAGTTGGCCCTAATTAAATGGCATAAACAGGTCTTCTGTTTATAAAATGTACAAAGTCGTTAATGGCAAACGTTGTACATTTTGTAATATCAGACTTGCCCTTCGTGATGTTATTTCTTCAATCAATCTTCTCATCCGAAATCCTACCATCAAGCTCATTTCAAACAGTGTTCATTTGTGTAATACTAAACTATTCTTTTTGCAAGAAAAAAAGAAAACTTAAAAGTAATGACTTGAAAATTTATACATCCAACCCTTGGGAGGGCGAATACGATTAAAAAAAAAAACCTTGGGAGGGTAATTGAAATATCAATTCAAGACCTCTCCTGCAAGCTTTACCAGTCATGAGCTAGTATATTATGCTGCCTATTTACATAGTACATGTATATATATAAAAAAAAAAAATCCTAAGAGAGTGGAAACTATCCCTATACAACTTATTGACTCAGTTGCAGTCTATAGCATTGCTCTGTAGAGTTTTGCATTGTGTTGCTTGCAATCGGATTCTTTGCTTGCACTATGCTACTAGTAATTACCATCAAGCTGCAGCCATTATATACTAAAACATATGCACCTATTGCTAGATACGTATGATAAGAGAAAGCATCATCTGCATACAACGCATATGGAGTAATATAATAGGTTGAGCTTCCTCCTAATTTGTAAGATGGGGGAACTTCTAATGAAATAATGTAATTGTGAGTAGTTTTTACTACCTAGATGGGTTTAGCACAAATATTTTCATGTATCTTTTTGCTCTTGATATCCCGTATGAATCTTAACAATGTCCACTTCCCCCGCCAAATAAAAATTTTTGTCAGCTCTTCTAGAATCACTACAAGAAAAATGGTCTAAGGCGGTGGTCCTATGACTGTCGGCTTAGGCCTTAAGACTGCTGTCATAGATCTAAGGCGGTGGTCATGAGTCCGCCATCTAAGCGACTGTCAGCCTAGATCAAGACCGCCAGTTTAGATGGAAAAGACCGCCACCTTCAATGGCCGGTCCAAGGCGGTTCAAACTTCATTAATACAGCGCTCCATCAGAATTTCCGGCTTAGTATTATTAAAGGTGGTGTTTTGGACTGCTGGCTTAGGTTTTGTCAATAATTGCCTAGTTTCTTAGGCAGTAGTCTAAACCATCGGCTTAGTTCCAATTGACCGCCGCCTTATGTCTTGTTTAGGGCTAAACCAGCGGTTGAATGACCACCGGGTTAGGCATATACATTTTTAAATTCTTACGCCATGTTAATTCCCACCCTTTTTTGTACTTGCACTTTTATTGTTTTATCACATTAATACCTACTTAATACAATATTCATGATAAATGATACAAGAGAAGTTAAAACTTAAGCAACTTAAATAAAAAATGCAATTTAAAACAAAATCTATTAATTTAAAGATTTATTATTATAATATCCAAAACAAATTGTTCAAATATAATATCCAATTGATGTATAAAAAAATACAACGACTTCAGAAAAATTCAATTTCTTGAATAATGTAACACATCTTCCCATGCAAATCCACTTGACATAATGGTTGAACCTGCAAATCATAACATATAAATTGTTAGAGAATGTAAGGTAAATGAATATCAATAAAATATGTATTAAAACAAAACATTGAGGGAGGCATCATAATTTAGTATTTTCACATCAATAAATGAATTATGCAACTAATAACTTAATCAAATCAAGTTGGATTTAAACTGAAGAAATCAAATCATGCATCATTTCATATCCATCCAGGGCAAGAACATTACAACAATGCCAAGACAAAATCCAACGAGTACTACACAAACAAGGCCAAATCATAGTATATAAGAAACCTAGAGCTCACTTGATCACTAACAATGAAGATCTTCCACTTAGGCTAGAAGTTGAGATTATTTTATAGATACCTTTATGTGACATTGTAGGAAAGAGGTGACACCGATATTTCAATTGCTTCTGCTGTTACTTCCCATTATTATCACTGGCAAGAGTGTAATCAAGATTCTCATCGCACCAATACCTGTTTTGCCTAATCAAGAATTTAGCTTTCCTTTTCCCTTAATCCATTCACAGATTCATTTGCTGTATCCCCATTGACATTTTGATGAATCTCTAGTGGCTTAATGGCTCTCATCTTTGTATTCTTACAAGAAAGAACTCACACGATTTTTATCTTTGATCCAACTTCTTCAAGGTTCTCTAGGAATGAGATTCCAAGCCTATTCATTGAATCTAGAATGCCGCCAGCTTTGAGGTCTTCACTTGCTGATTTGTAAAGATGAACAGTTGTACTCAGAATAAATGTAGTTGCTTCCACCGACTCTTTAATTTGTTAAAAGAAGGAAATTCCTTATGCAATATGTCCATGGTCTACATAACCCCTCAGTATGGTTCTATGACATGCCAGGTCAAGATTTAAACCACATTCAATCGTTTTCCCATAAACCCTTTTAGTCCCAAAAAAATGCAGTTCCAATTAACATTCATATCTTTGGTTAATTACTAAACCAAACACCATCTCTATATCTGAGTCTTGCATTTGTTTTCTACTCGTTAACTAAGAGTCCAGATATGCATCAAGTCTAGGATTTCAGTAATTCTCCCTTAGTGGGTTTTGCCTAGGTCAAGATTTAAACCACATTCAATCGTTTTCCCATAAACCCTTTTAGTCCCAAAAAAATGCAGTTTCAATTAACATTCATATCCTTAACACCATCTCTATATCTGAGTCTTGCATTTGTTTTCTATTCGTTAACTAAGAGTCCAGATATGCATCAAATCTAGGATTTTAGTAATTCTCCCTTGGTGGGTTTTGCCTAAACATAACCATCCAACCCATCACTGTCTAAAGAAAGGACATGTTTCACAAATTCCAGCTTAAAGAAAATGGTGAAAGCCACTCAAAAATAAAGTCAACCAAACTTAGCAAACATACATTATTTTTTTCTTTTTCTTTAGCCTACTTAACAGCATGATTTATTATTACTTTTGGAGAAGGTGAGTGAGGTAGTGAGTAGGTAGGGAAGAAGGTAAATGCCAACATATAGCCCTACAAACTAGCTACTAGCTTTCATTTCAAATCAAATCAGAAGTGGGTGCCTACTAACAAAGAGCACTTGGCGAAAGCAGAAACCCTCTCCCAAGAAAGAGAAGGATGAAAGATAAGGTTATAATTGTTCACTTGAAGTTCAATGTAACCTGAGATGTAAAGGCAAGGGATGAAAGATAATTCCCATATCACATAAAATTCTTACATCAACATAGCCTGCAATTGGAGAGTCCATTTCCTAGGCAATTTCTGCAAGACAGGAAACCACCATGGTATGATTTTGTGGAGAGCGTGAAGCTCTCTGTACTCATCAATGGCAAAATGGTGATAGGTCATGCAATTGGAGACTAAGGAAAAATCGAGGGTTTAAGATAAACAAAAAACATTTCTCATAGTCAGCACTAAAACAATCTTAGCGCAAATTTCATCAAAGGCTCATCATGTTCAACATGATGCAGGAAGGAGGTCAGAACTAAAATGAGGTCCCATGGATTTTGCATGCAGGAAGGAGATCAGATATTGCATCCATGAGCACTTCATCATGTTCAAAACCATTGTCATCAATATCACTATCAGAATCAGCTTACTGGCAAACCAAATCTTCTCATGGTAATATTAAAGTTGCCTCAATACCTAGGGATATCTGGAATCAGATAACATAAATTGAATATAACTGATAACTCAAAAACCTACATCAGAAAACATATTTTGTTCAAGACAAACATGGGAAAAAACACTTATACTGATAAGGCTCAAGTGCCATGTATGATGTATTCATATTCCTTGATGATGTCTGTTGTGTTCATACAAGCTTGAGCAACAACTTCTTTATTGCCATCTTCTGTCATTGTCTTGATGTAGATATTCATCACAGTATCTACAAGTGATATTGAATTGGGTTCATCATACCACAAAGAGGAATCAAGACTACTAAATGACAACTTCCAAGCTATTCAAAAACCATTTCTCATTCTTTTCCTGTACCAACAATTTGTTTTGTCTTTGTTTGTCCTTCATGCACATAGAAGTTAGACATGAGCACAGTAGTAGCATATTTCCACAAAAAAATGTTCCCAAAAACTAAACTCCATAATCAAAATTTGAAGTCATCAATGGGAAGGGGGCTGAGGGGAGACAATTATGTCAGAGTATACTTACATTATGGCCTTAGAAGACTACCTGTGCTGCTGTCAACATATCTAAAAAAAACCAAAAAAGCTGTCTTGGTGAGCACAACATATGATAATATAAAATTGAAATTTTAAGAGTGCATCACTAACCTATTAATAAAATTTATGGTCACCATAACATAAAATGACCTCAACATGAGCTATTTAACCATGAACTGAGAAATAGAAGTTGAACCTTGACTGTCTAGCTCATTTGAGCTTTTAAATGTTTTAACTTCTGGAATGCCCATGTTAAGAAAATGAGCTTTTAAATGTGTTAACTTCAGGAATGCTAATATTAAGAAGCCTCCAAGTATCATGAGGAAGGTACAACTGTACAAGTTGCAGATTTACTTCCTAGCATCACAACAGTTCCCGTGATGCAATATGTGTAGGAGCACCACATAAGGTGTTATTTTTATTTTTATATTGTGACTATAAAGCAAGGCATAGGACCTAAACACCTTGTAAAATATTCTAGTTTCAAAAAGCAAGTATTCTTTTTTCTCAACCATATCTTGATCACATTTACAAGAAGAATTACTTGTTGGTTGATAAATATTGGGTTTTTTTTTTTGATAAATGCCTACAACTCTTGATAATTTTCAATTCAAAATGGAAGGGGAAGGTTGTCCTCTCCTGGGACCAGTTCCCCCACTCAAGGAATTGTTTGTAACTCTTCTAGCTAGAGAACTAATCAAGACATTAATGGAATGCGGAATCCACTTGAATGAGCTGTTCAAGAGGGCAACCATAGCCTTAGGGGATGTTCAATAAGAGCTGAAGGTGCTGAACTGAAAAGCTTATCACTTTGTCTGCCATAGCCTTAAAAGTTCTGCGATGGCATGAAATAGCCGCTACCCCTCTATCCTGCATCCTACCCCATTTCTAGTAAAATAATCAACAAACATTTAAGTTCCCTTGGAATCTACAATATTTTCATTCAGTGTAGCTTCACAAGAAGAACTTGGCATCACTATTTTGAGGCTTTTAAAGTCCAATTGTTTGTTTTGGATTCAGTAGAGTCATTGGGTTGCTAGAATCTGAAGGGATTGAATAAGAAAGGCAATGTAGTCCAGGTAATTTTCCCAATTCCGCAGCCCAGAAATCTGGAGAAAACTCAGACTACCAAAAGGGAAATAGTCAAGATGCTTTTGAATGAGTTCATCATTCAATTCTTCAGGCATGATAGAGAAAAGTAGACAAGACACCCTCCTACCTATATTACAAAGATAAAAAATGGACAGACTGTTATACACGGAATTTACTCAGAAAATTGAGGTCTCTAAGACAGGCATAGAAGCCATTTTGAATTGAAGTGTCCATGCAACATAGCCTCCTACTCTACCTACTTTCCTTTTTCTTTTCCATCCCTCTTGGTCTTCATAAGTTGAAGGCAAGGTGGACAAGAATCTTAAGAGGCAGAGCTACTAAACTATGACTCAAGCACTAGGATTTTACAGCCCATGTAGTACTGGAAAGACATGCATCTAGTTGGCACAACAGGTTTGGTAATGGTTATAGGGCATTTGGAAACATCAATCACCAAAACATCAGGCATAGAATAACATATGGTATGGAGAAGATACAAAATCAGAAGGAAGGTTTCTTAATGAAACTAGATGATGTCAAATGCAGGAGGTTCCCAAAAAAATCAAGTTTGGTTCCCAAGAGAATGCACCATCCAAGATAATATTAAGTATAAGACAAACAAGAATTAGGCCTGTAAAGAGAAGATAATACCAAAGGTTGTATTGATTAAAATAATATAAATGAAATAATAATTTTTGTTATTGATAAAAAAATGATTAAGTAACAATTTACTATTTAGTATATATACACAACAACAAAAAAAGTTAGTCATTTCAAATACTAAAAGACAGACATGCATAAAATAACTACAACGTTCAATGAAGTAAAGGCACAAGTTCTTTGAAAAGGAATGATGGGTAAAACTAAATACACAAGAACCTGTTCAACATTAACAAGAGTTTTCTTACTGAAAACAGAAAAATATGCACCAACTACACTTCTCTTCCATTTAACTTGAAACATGAACAGTGATTTCAAATTCCATGGTAACCAAAGGTATGGAGTTCAATACACTACAAATAACTAGACAACACCAAAGCTTCACAAATATCTGATCTCTCCAATATAACTTAAAAATAAGGCCACTTGATCTAAACTCAAAAAAGTCAACATGGTGTAGTTATGTTTCTAGTAGTATCTTCCTCAGTTCCTCTACAAAGTTCTGGGTTTTAGGTCTTGTATAACCTGTAAAGCATCAGCCAGCAAAAGATTTCACAACACCTAAGCAACAAGTGCAAAATATGCCATCTGCCACTTTTTATAAAAGTTCTATGAGATCATACCTTGTTTGATAAAATCTCTACTACAATCCCAATTTATATTAGAAAAGGCTATTTGATGTAGTATCTTCCATCAGACTCAAATCTAGGTAAAATTCAAGGGATAGAACTCACAATTTGAACTGAAATTGTTGAAACTTGAAATTGAAGATTTTCCAATATTGTAATGCAATACTAAATAAATTGTACCAAAAAAATCAAAAGTCTCATATAAATGGTCCAAATTTACTGTATCACGCACGTATTGCTAAGGAAAAACAAAAGGAGCTCAGATTGTTGTAACCAGAAAATAATTCTGGCAGAAAAAAGCAATCACTTTTGGATCAAAATAACTAGAAACATTCAACAGATGACTAGGAATCCAACCAGAGTTATATCAGTGAACTCAATGCAAAATAATAGATATCTAGATGTCATCTCTTTACGTAGATACTTCCCAGTTTGATAATCTAAAAACATAAAGAAACAACCAGAGTTATCAAATTGGAATTCCCAGTTTGGTAATCCCAAATAGGCTACAAAGTGGATCTAGATCAGCTAATCCCTGATCTGGATAATCCAGTTCTTAACCACTTCTTGTAATAGAGACTATAATAACCAAATTCAACAGTGGGTCTTAATCACTTCTGAGATGATTTTTGTTTGGATACCTTAATTTTAATGGGAAAATAAAGTGAAAATTTGTTAAGTTTTCTGATTTTTTGTTGTATCTGAAGCTGCTATAACATATAAGTCTCTAAAGTTAAATCCTAATCACACATAGAGTGTTAGATGAACTATGCCCCATTTCCTTGTATAAACTATAGCACATACCAAAACGGCTTCCTTTCAGCAGACTTAGGTATTCCCCAGGGAAAAGGTTTTAGTGGATTAATGGATTATGTTATTTTCTTCTATGTGGGATTACCTGTATGTGTTTATCTCCTTTAAAAAGTGAGTGAAACAAGTATTGCTATAGCACATGGTCAGTCTTACTATGAGTTCTCCCAGGAACTAGTGGCTTATGCATTTGCCTTGCCCTTGATTGATCTTGTGTGTACCAAACAATTTGCTCCACATTGGATGATTTTCTTTCTATGCACACATGATTTTCTTTCCATACATGGAGAATGACCTTAACCATTTGAATTAAGTATTAAAAGAAAAGACAGCTAGATTAAAAATATACTAGCAGTGAATTATTTGGAACTTGGAGAACCTTAAACAGCATCAACCTCTGTGCGGGACCAATCTAGAGTGTAGCTTAACCTATGTTACCTAGTTGTGACAAGAACAGGGATGGACAAGGAGTTGCATAGTAACTAAAAAAAATTAAATGTTTGACATAAAATGGGACCCATTTAGGACCTAAAATTTTAATCTTGTGATTGATGACCATGTTGTCTGAATGGATGGATGTTGGTAGGAGGCGAGGAGCATTGGAATTTGAGACAAGTATAACCATTGCTGCCCCTTATCCAAGAGATTCACACCTAACATTCTCTCTTTACTTGCAGGAAATGTGGGCTTGAAAAGATGAGATTTGGTCACCAATACAAACTTAAAAACCAACCTAATCAGAATTCAGAAATGACAGAACAGAGACTCTAACGTGTCCATGTATTTTACAAGAGATGAATCGAGTCACAAGGAAGCCAAACATTTAACTTGTCAGGAAGTCCTTATAATAATAGTCCTTCCAAATAATAAATACAGAATTTCCAAACTCTTTTAGAGACTAGCAAGTTAACATGAATATTCAACTACATGAAAATCAATGGTGTTGATATCAATATTTAATGTTAAAATAATTCTTCAAGATATTGTACCCAGGAGGGAGGCCTAATACTCAGGTCATTTACTAAACAGGCCAGGGCCAAATGTTAACATGATTCAACCTCAGCTTCTGTTCATTTTTCAGCTAGTCCCTAGTAATAAACCATTCAAATATGAATAGGGGAAATGTGTTCTCTGGTTCTGACTGATAATGATGACCCTCAACTTCAGTGCGTAGCTGGACCCAAATGATCACATTATAAAATATCAACTCCTTATAATCCGGTTTCATAAACTCCCTTGTTTACAATTTTTTGTGCAGTGACTTGAGGGCATTCAAGCACATGATGCCCATGACACTAGAAATGGAGTTCGGATCAGCTCCTACTAAAGGATCCCAACAAGCCTAATCATTACTGCTAGGGGGAGATGTTGCCAACGTGTGGCTATATGGCTTATTGCAAGTATATCTACTTTCTACAAGAATGCTAACCACATGTATCCATAAGACATTGCAGCTGCACATCAAAAATATCTCCCGTACTTGTATATTGTCATTCACGCCATAGGTTCAATGGCAACACCAATGCCACGCCATTAATGTAATTGGAGAATAAAGTAGCAGAACCACTAAACTCTTGGAACTGTCAAAAAGATTTCATGATTGGGTGATTTGACTGAATGGTTTTGCGGATGGTGGTCAGGGATCCACCTGAACCTAAGCAATTACTGCTTGAGGTTCTAAGATAAATGCATGGCCCAAGATGTTAAAATCCCTAGATATCAATCAATGAGAATAGAAAGAAGCTATAAAAAATTCAATATAGTTAAGAACCATGTTGATTTATTTGAAGTTGTGGACATGTACATGTCAGGGAACAAAATATGTCAAGTGCTAGAGGAGAAACTTTTGACATTATTAAATAGACTGATATTTGAAAATCAAGAAAGGGTCTCTAAGGTCATAGCAGAGTTTGAGCACTTGGAGCATTTTGGTCAAGAGAAGATCTCTGAAAATTTGTCTCTCCAAGATGAGTTAATAAGGAAAGAAGATATTTTGAAAGGCCTGTTGTTTGATCTTAGCTTGTTGCAAAAGTTAGAATCCAATGCCAAAGGACCGAAAATGATGAACTTGAAGAAATGGTTGCTGCATTGGTGTCAATAGAACTTGCAGCTAAATGAGGTAAGCTTAATGTTGCCCACGGTCAAATACTTAAAAGTCATTTGCAAGAGAAAATCAACATATTATCTTCCCTTGAGTTAGATATATCAAAAGAGCGTGAGTCACTAAAGTTGTTTTTAGATCAAAAGCTTGAATTGAAAGGGTTAGATGATTACCTTCTCTTGGTCAAACAAAATTTCCCCTCTCTCATCGATTGATATATGGAGCATCCTCAAGCGATTGAAGCTGGCATGGAGCTTTCCTGAATCGGAAAATGCTTGTATGCTGTTGAACAACGATAGAACGGGCGACCAATCTATCTCTTCGCGTCCTCAATCGAACAATGATGGAATGGAGCCACCGATCGATCTCTTCGCGTCCTCACTTGAACAACAATGGAATGGAACTACCTTTCTCTATTTCTCAGGCAACCTATTATTATTATTTTAGAAAATAATATATATATAATACAAATATTATAATTCTTAAATTTTTAAATATTAAATAAAAATATTTTTTATATATAACTTTTTATTTTTATAAAACATTTTTTCTGAAATCGAGTTCGAGCTGAACTGAGCTACTTATGAATTTTTGATTAAGTCGAGTTTGGGCTCAATGTTCTAGCTCGAATCGAGTTTGAACCTTATACAATAGTGGCGAACCGAATTCGAACCTCGTACTATTCGATTCGGCTCGGCTTGACTCGAATCCATCCCAAGTTTTTGCTACTATCCTGTCGAATGCAAGAAGTAGCAGAACGAACACGGGAACTTTGATATTTTAACATTTTCTCTTTGGGTTTTGTTGATTTGTTGAGTAGAATGTGATGCTTTTAGACCGGTTCAAAAAAATAAAGCATCTGACATATGCAAAAACCACCGCCGAATTTTTAATTTTCTGTGGCGGCCTTTAAAACCGCCGCTTTAAACCTTTTTTTGGTTTCTTTTGTAGTGAACCATTAGTAAAAAGAAAGTAGATAGGATTCCATAAGACCAAGAAGACTTTTGGAATGATTGGAAGATTTAGGTGAAAATGAAATGTAAATGCATCCCTTCCCCTTTCCTCACAAATGATGAAGACAAGCAAGAAAAGATTAATTCCCATTTTTTTATATAAACCAAACGAGAAAAGGAGAAAACTACAGTAAAAGAACTAAGGCCATATTTGGGAGTGTTTAAAAGTGCTTTTATAAAAGTGCATTTGTAAAAACTTTTATAAAGTATTTTCATAAAAGTGCTTTCACAAGGGTATATTTTTATAAGGGTATATTTTGAAAATTTGAAAGAAAATAAAGGACAAAATAGTCACAAATGCTTATTGGAAAAAAAAAAGACTACCCAAGGCCCAATATGAAATAAGTTTATTTTTTAAAATAAACACTTGAAAAAGTTGGGTGCCAAGTGCAAATATGTGCTTATTCGAATAAGCACTTATTTTTAACATAAGCATTCCCAAACATAGCCTAATTAATTTAACAAAGCATTTGACATAGAATTTGCATCAACCCTTTTATTGTGATCTTGGTTTACCAGCCAGTCTACTACCTGCTTACCCTCTCGTTGGACATGCTTGTAGATGACCTCTAGTTGCTCCTCCTTACCAATCTTCCTGCATTCATCTATGAGGGTTTGGCATCTCCACGAAGTTGTAAACGATCCTTGAAGTGCTCTTATGGTTGATCTGGAATCTTCTTTCATGTAACACATTAGAAATTGCAAAAAAATATAAAAATAATAAAAAATGAAATGAAAATATACAATTCAAATAAAGAAAACAAATTTAAATTTTAAAAATATAAAAAATTAAAGAAATTACAAAAAAATGTAAATATTTTTAGAAAATAGAATTTGTAGAAAAACAACAAAAATTATGAAAAGCACAAAAATTTCAAATAAATAGCAAAAAGTATTTGGCTGCATTGTGAACCAATTATTGAATGATAGCAGAACCATGGTTTCGGAGCAAAGAACCACGATTTTAGTCAAATATATAGCTCTATTTTTGAAATAAAGGAAACCGGTGGCGTTGAGCCGTTGAGGAAGAAGAAGAAGGAGGAGAGGGGGAGGGGGGGGGGAGAGAGAGAGAGAGAGAGAGAGAGATGGATCACCAATGTTATTTGTGCTCTGGTTGCTGTTGCATTTTGTTTGCCAATTGATCTGAAACTCAAAGATTGTTCACCGGTGTTCTCTATGCTCTACTCGCCATTGCAATTTGCCTTTTGATCTGAAACTCCATTTGAATCCTCACTTCAAACCTAAAACCTAAAGTGTAAAATCGATGGTCATTTTTTTTTTTTCTTTTGGAAAAATAAAAGGAACCACTACCAAACATGAAAGGACGAAGGGGGATTAGACTTGTTAATAAGAGTTTTTTTAAGCCTGACCTATCTTGCAAGAACAAGGGCTGGCTTAAAAACTAACCTATTTACATACAATAATTTGATATCATCAAAAAAAGATAGAAGGTCAAAGATGTGGTCGTATAGAGCTTGAACTTCCCATGTGATGTTTTTATCAGTTCCTTTTAGCTTCAACAGAGAATCTTTAGCATCCGATAGCAGAAAAGCACTTTTGTAGCCCATACAAAGAAGCTTACAAAGACCTCTTATGATTGTCCAGAGCTCAGCTGATGTTGATGATTTTGCCATGCAAGGTTGTCCTTCTGCAAGGAAAAGAGGAGATCAATGTGAGAACATAAAGAGTCCAGTTGATGCATTGTGTGATAGTGTCCCATGACCCATCCACCATAATGATTGGATGCTCCGAGTGTAGGACATCTTGTAGGTCCCATGCATTATTTGGATAAGAAGGAGATGAACGCAGGGACACAGATGTTTTGAAAATATGATAGTTACTAGCTTTCCTTAAGTTTGTTAGAGGATCTGGTTTCCCATTATTGAAGATGATTTCATTTCTTGCATCCCAAAGACTACTGAGTATTGCAAGGATTTTTGCTAGGTAATTATACTTTAAAGCTTTATCCTTGATATGGTTATTATATTGCCACCACCAGTCCAACAAATCACTTTGACTTGAGTTTAGAAAAGCCTCTGGCATGAGCCCAACTTGGGCTTGCATCCAAACAACCCGAGCTAGAGGGCATTCCAGCAGAAGATGATTTTGAGTTTCAGGGGATGACTTACAAAAAGTGCACCAGATATCCTCTTTTCTTCTGCAGCTCCAGATGGATGTTTTGGTTCGAACTACGTTATGTAGAAATTTCCACATGAAAATTTGGCATCTATGGGAACACGGGGCTGCCCATATTTTGGACCATCTAGTGGCAATTGCTTGGTTTGGGAGCAGGGACTGTATGAGAGCATGATAGGCTGAGTTCATCGAGAAGTCCCCATTCTTAAAGCTTTTCCAAAGCAATTTGTCACTTTGTGGAGAAGGCTTGAGGGGGATACTGAGGATGGCTTCGACACTACTATCATCAAACAGTTGATAAAGGTAATCAGTATTCCAAGAATGTCTATCAGTGATTGGTTCACACACCTTTATTTGTGAAGGCTTCCTGTCTATAGTCCTTCGAATGGGAGTGTTATTTTCCAACAAAGGAATCCAAGGGTCCAAGAAAGCTGAGAATTTTTTTCCCATCCCCTAGTTTCTAGAAGAAGTTAGACTTCATCTCATTTTTTATTTTGATGATACATTTCCACCACCATGAGTCCGAAGCCTTAGCTTTCAAGTCAAAGAAATTACCCTTGACATACTTAGCTTCTATTTGCTGAGCGTAGAGACCGTCACTGTGATTAAGGAGCCTCCATACAGACTTCAGAAGGAGAGCTTTGTTCATAAGAGAGAATCTTCTTAACCCTAAACCACCAATGACTTTGGGAGAGCAAATAATACTCCATTTTAAATTGCAGCCATTTACCTTGCTCATTTTGCCATGTCACCAGAAATTCTTTTGAAGCCTATCCAACCTCTTGTAGAGACTAGCTGGTAGAAAGTTTGTTTACATAGTATATAGAGGGATACTTTATGTAACTGCTTTGATAAGAGTGGTGCACCCAACTTGAGAGAGAGTTTTCGCTTGCCATAGGTCCATCCTGTTTGACACGTTCTCTACAAGGTGCTTGTGTGTGCTCATCTTACCACCTTCTCCATCTACTAACTAGGTCCCTAAGTATCTGGTACTGTAGTTGATGATTTTCATTCCCAGGGATCTGCTCAGTAATTTTTGGTGAATTCTATGAATGTTCTTGCTAAACATGACTCCTGACTTAGCAAAGTTGATATGCTGGCATGGGATTTCTTCAAACATCTGAGGGTGGATTTGATGTTGAGGAAAAACTCTGGATCTGCCTTACAAAAGATGAAGTAGTCATCAGCAAATAAGAGATGAGTGATTGGATCTGCATCCTTTGCAAGATTGATTCCTTGAAGTCTTGTAGAGTTTTCCTCTCTTTACAACAAAGCTGAGAGAGTTTGCATACCAATAATGAAGAGGTAGGGCGAGAAAGGATCACCTTACCTCAAACCTCTTTTAGTGGTGAAAAAATCATAAGAAGAGCCATTGAGCTTTACAGAAAAGGAAGAGTTAGAGATGCACTGCCATATTAGATCACACCAACTATTAGGAAAGCCCATTCTCTTCATGGATTCAATAAGAAATCTCCAACCCATCCTATTGAAAGCTTTGGCCATATCAATTTTGAGAGCATCCCATTTCCCTTTCCCTTTCCCTTTTTGGGTCCTTAGTTTATGGATTATTTCTTTTGCAAGGATAATATTGTCTATGATGTTTTTGCCCTTGATGAAGGCAACTTGATTTTGCTGGATTAGAGTAGGGAGGAGTGGTTTTAGTTTGTTGGCCAAAACTTTAGCTAGGATTTTATAGAGTACATTACTTAAGCTAATAGGCTTGAAATGCTCAGCTTTCTCCGCATCTCTCCTTTTTGGAACAAAAATAAAGTTAGTATGATTTAATTGCTTGAGGAGTCTCTTGTTGTGAAAGAAGCCTTGAATCATAGAAGTGATGTCATCACCTACTAGGTCCCAGTAGTGTTGGAAGAAGAAAGCAGTGAAGCCATCCGGACTAGGCGCTTTGTGAGAGTGCATCTAGAAGAGAGCTAGCTTGACCTCTTCTTTTTGAGGAGGAATGAGAAGGCTTTGTCTCTCTTCAGGTGAGATTTTATTAAATTGCAAATCATCCAGGAGTGTAGGGTCAAAAGATTCCTCAAGGTTTGAGCTGCTTAGGAATTGACTTTTAAGAAGGTTTGCTATGTTAACAACACAAGTGATCCAATTACCCTGGTTGTCTTTTAGCCAATCAGTTGAGAGCCATCTCCTTTTGAAATTAATTTGATGGTGAAAGAATTTTGTATTCTTGTCACCTTCTGAGAGCCATAATTCCCTGGATTTTAGTCTCCAAAGTTGCTCTTCTATGAGGAGCCATTTATTATATTGGGC